AGAGAGAGAGAGAGAGAGAGAGAGAGAGAGAGAGAGAGAGGTAGATTAAGAAAGAGCGAAAGTGAGAGACAGACAGAGCGAGTGATAGCGTGAGAAGCAAAACCTGCTATAGAGAGTGAAAACTTCTAAAATGTTGCGAAACGGGTAAAATGTTTCTAGGAGCCCCCGGGAGATAGCAGCAACAATCGCCACACAACACACACACTGCAGCCTAACGTCTGCTATAATATATTATATATATATATACAGCTGCCTGACAGCTATTCTACATTAGGCTCTAGCAAGCATCGGCCGCGGCGCGGCGACGTATCAAAGGCGCTTCGACAACAATGAACGACTCGCTGCAAAACTGAAGGGAAATATTTGATAGAGAGCAAGAAACGCTTTTAGTGAGCCTGCCTCGCCTGCCCACCCACCAGCTCCCTGCCTCCCCCAGCTTCCCGCCTCCATCCCTGCCTCCCCCTGCCTCCCCCAGCTCCCCGCCTCCCCTAGCTCCTCGTTTCTCCATCTCCCCGCAGCCCCCACCTCCCTGCCTCCCTCTCCACTTTCCTGTCTCTCCACCTCCCTGATTCCCTCACCTCCGCCTTCTCCCCGCTTTCCCGCGTCTCCATCTTCTGGCCTCCCCTCGCCTCTCTAGCTCCTCCCTTCCTCTATCTCTCCTAAACCCGTCTCCCTTCTGCAGCAAACCAACCCAGCCACGCTACTGCATACCAAAAGCTTTTGCTAAAGTTTCTTCTCTCCCCTTCTCGTTCAAGACAGTGGAAAGGGGGAGAGTTCGAGAGGGAAGGAAGGGCAGGGTGATGGAGGAAGAGAGGAAGGAACGAAGGAAGTTAGGAAGAGAGGAAGTTTGGGAGAGAGGGAAGAAAGAAACGCAGGGTGAGGAGGAGGAAGGAAGGGAGGGAGGGAGGGAGGGAGGGAGGGAGGGAGGGAGGTTGGGAGGGAGGGAGGGAAGGGAGTGGGAGGGAGGGAGGAAGGCGAANGATCGTGCGCTGCTACGTACGTGCGTACGGTGTGTGCGTGCGGTGAATGCGGCGTGTACGTACGTGCGTGCGTGTGCGTGCGTTGCGTGTGCTGCATGATTGCGTGCGTGTACGTTACGGTGCGTCCTGTCGCGTGTACTGCGCGCCGTGTACGGTGCGTAACGTGGTGGCGTTCGTGGCGTGGTGCGTGCTGTACCTGCAGGTGCGTGTACCGTACGTGCGTGCGTGTGTGGCGTGCGTGCTGTGCGTGCACGTGCGAGCGGCGTGCGTGTACGTGCGTGTGTGTTATGTATTCATATTTCGAAAGCTGCGATAAGAAGCTGACCTCTTACGGTCGTCGCGCGCGCCTTTCTGCCTCTCGCAGACAACTCATCCGAGAGTGCGGGAGAACCGAGATGGGAAAACAATGACGACGTCGCTGGCGTGGACACCGTCATCATCACTTCCGGTGGCCATCTGTCTGGGAAGATGGCGGCGATGACGTCACGGAGAGAACGAGGCGGCGGTGGCGGCGGCGGGCGGCAAGGGAAAGCGTAAACACAAAACACAAACACAAACACGGTCGACCGCAGACGGTAAGGGCCTAGCTGGTAAATAAATACAATGGCAAACGCAGTTTCCGAAAAAAGTTATATGTTTTTTTTAGTAAGTATAGGTAAGGCCACCCTTAAAAATAGTTTGTTTCCGCGCTTTACGTAACTCGGGCCTCTCAGGGTAGCCGAGTAGGTAGGTAGGTGAAAAATCTGTTTTATTTTGTTTGACAAGATGTGGTGTTGTATAATTATTCGTATATCTGTTTTGGTAATATTGTTTTCTGGGCGAATGAATTTGACTTTTTTTTTTGGCAAAACGAAACTTGATTTTTGGTTTTGTTGTTAATCGGGCCAATAAAATGTGTCCGAAGTAGCCGGCGTTTTTGGGAGTCGGTCGGTAAAGGGGAAACAAGCAATATTTTATCTTAGGCCTAATAACCAGTGTTAATACAGTGTTAATACAGTAATACAGTGTTAACATAGTTGCACAACTATAGTAATAATAACAATATACCCAAACTCGTGTCTAATATGTGATTTCATATCTGGTAACCATATCATGCAGAGATGCCAACCACTACGATTTATCCGTATTTTATACGAATTTCAATTCCTTTTGCACCACTACGACCAGTTTGTATCAAACTACGAATTTCACTGTGATCGAATTTCTTTTTTTTTGGTCAATTATTGTCATTTTTTGTAAATTTATTGTCATTTTTGACCCCCAGAATGCAGGAAATTGCATCTCAGAATAAAAAAATTTCCGGGGGGCATGCCGGACCCCCCCCCTAGCAAACTCGGGTCAGTACGTGACCCTCGAACTACTAATTTGATGGCCAGAAACTACAGATTGCTTCAAATATGTGTTGGCATCTCTGCATATGAATGTAAAACTGGCAATGATATTCTCGTATCATTGGCAATAATAATATACGTGTACAACCGGCAGCAACATGCGTGCGCAGCCGACAGGTAGGCACGACCATTCATGTACGTGAACAACTGGCAAATGCAGGCAAGCGACTGGCAACGAGCTTCCTGTGTGTAACTGGCAATGATTACTGCCAGCCACTGGCAATAACATGGCAATGGCAATGGCGTCATCTCTCTTTTTCCTCCTGCAGCAAACACAGACATCGGTCGCGCGACACCAAGATGCCGAAAAACGTCGCCAGGGCGCAGCACAAGCGACGTGACAGGCACCACCAGATGTCGCCGCCGTCGTCCGAGCGTGTGCGGCGCCACCGCTCCCAGAAGTGGCGACGGAGGCACCGGCGGCGGCGGGCGCGAGAGGGCACCTTCGCCACCAGGGGGCGCGAGAAGCGGGCGGCGACGGCACGAGCTGAGCGGATATGGGACTACGGCGTCATTCCGTACGAGATCGAGGCTAACTTCAGCGGTAAGATGGCAGCCGCCAGGCGGCAGCACTCGACAAACACCACGTCCTTGAACAACCTTGACCGATTCCGAACTACATCTAACTTCGCTTATATCACATATATTGATATGCGTCTACACTCTAGCCGCCGAGATTCCGTATCTACATCTAACTTCTGGGCAGATTCCGTATCTACATCTTAACTTCTGCAGATTCCGTAAATCTACAATCTAAACTTCGCAGATTCCGTATACTACCACTACTTCTGCAGATTCCGTATCTACATCTAACTTCTGCAGATTCCGTATCTACATCTAACTTCTGCAGATTCCGTATCTACATCTAACTTCTGCAGATTCCGTATCTTCAATCTAACTTCTGCAGATTCGCGTATCTTACGATCTAACTCTCTGCCAGAGATTCCGTATGCTACATCTAACTTCGCAGATTCCGTATCTACATCTAACTCTGCAGAACGTATCACTCACGTACTGAGAACGAAAAAGTATCACATCTAACTTCTGGCAATTCCGTATCTACATCTAACTTCTGCCAGATCCCCCGTATCTACATCTAACTTCTGCAGATCCCGTATCTACATAACTAACTTCTGCAGATCGGCAGTAGCTACATCTAACTTCTGCAGATTCCGTATCTACATCTAACTTCTGCAGATTCCGTATCTACATCTAACTTCTGCAGATTCCGTATCTACATCTAACTTCTGCAGATGTCTCCGTATCCTACCACTACTCTCGCAGATTCCGTATCTACATCTAACTTCCTGCAGATTCCGTATCTACAGTCATAACTTTCTGGCAGCATTCCGTCCTCTACAATTTAAGCTTCTGCAGATCCGGTATCTACATCTAACTTCTGCAGATTCCGTAGTCTAACATCTAAGCTTCTGCAGATTCCCGTATCTAGCATCTAACTCGGATTCGACTAACCTATCGGTTGAGTTCCGTATCTACATCTAACTTCGGTTGATTCCAG